GGGTCCTGGGATCGAGCCCCGCATCGGGCTCCTTGCTCCGCAGGGAAGCCTGCTTCTCCCTCTCCCACTCCCCCTGCTTGTGTTCCCTCCCTCGCTGTGTCTCTCTCTGTCAAATAAATAAATAAAATCTTTAAAAAAAACAAAAACAAAAACCTTTATGGGCTTGAATTTCACTTCAAAAATTGAGTACTTATGGGGCACCTGGGTGGCTCAGTGAAGATTAAGCATCTGATTCTTGCTTTCTGCTCAGGTCATTATCTCCAAGTCTTGGGATCAGCCACATAGGGCTCTGCATTCAGCACAGAGTCTACTTGAGATTCTCTCTCCCTCTCCCCCTATTCTCCGCATCCCCCCACCGACTGCTCATATTCTCTCTCTCAAATAAATAAATCTTTTTTAAAGATCTTTTTTTAATTTTCTATTTCAAATCTACAATTGATGTGAGACAAAAAGCACCAAGTTTAGTCACTGTTGCATTCAAACTGGTTCGACTATAAAATTATCATTTATGGTACACTGAGAGAATATGACAAGGCTGAAGGTAGGAAACCTACCTATCACTTTTTTGAAATCTAAACAGTTTTCCACTTCCTCCCCCTATGTCCTTAATCACTACTACCTCCTCCCCCAATCACTGTCAAAGACAAGGACTGACAGACACTCTTCTGTGTTTAGTGCTGTCAGCAAAAGTATAAACTCAGAGCCTCCCTTGGACTTTCTGAAACTAACTCTGACCTAATAAACTGTCCTATCCAATGGTGACCACCCTTCAAATCAGGTCGTATTTTCAGATCCCAAATTGGTTTTGGAACTTAAGGGTAATTCTTAGTTGGTAACAATATACTATATAAGTTTAAACTTTAAGCTCCAGTGCCAATTAAAAAATCAGTATGTTGAACAAATTCTGGTTCCAGGAGGGTAATGTTTGTGTGGAATCTACTAAGTTCTGTCCTCATCCTTGTTCTAGTTTACTCAGGGTCTTTCAGGCACGAAGTAGAATGGGGAAAGAAAGTTAGCTGGGTAGCTGCTGTGTTTACAGTACTTGCTATGCACGCGCGCGCACAGGCATACACTCTCTCTCTCTCTCTCTCTCTAGAACCAGGCAGCAGCTAATTCAAGTGGGAGATAAGCCTGCCTTGGGAAATAGCTAAGGAGAAAGAGTTGAGAAAAAGCAAGGAAATATTTCTAGCTTCCTAGGAACAGGAAATTACATCCCACAATGTAGGGAAAAAGCCATCACCTTTCTGAATGCAATGTTTTCCAATCTGCACAACAGGCCTCATGCAAGAAGGTTAAAGAGATGACCACAGAGCACACTCATCCAGCAGTTAGCCCATACCTGTGGCTTTACACCTCCCTTTCTGGACTATGTCTTCACTCTAAAAAACCAAGGAAAGAAAAATAAGTGGGCCATGCCTATACTTCTCATAATTCCAGATATGTAGCTTCTTTCCTAAGAAAAGCCCCCTTTTGTCACCATGGCCGAGAATTAAAAAATAAAAAAACCAAAAACCTCCTCCCTCTCCCATTTTTAAAGTACACAATACCTTAAAATATTAATTGCATTTAATATCTCAAAGTTAACTTAAAAACACCATCATTGTAAAAGATGGGGAAATAAAAATACTAAAAGACTTAATACAGGCTTGTCCCCAAATGTCACAACAAATAGCAAAACAATGATTACAACTTATGAGGCTGAATTTCAGTACATCTAGGTCACCAAAAAAGTCCTTTTTAGCATCTGCTTTTGGATGAGAAACTACAATAGAGCTAAAAGCCTTATAATTCTTTTAGCAATCAAAGATCATGTTATTAACGTGGAAAGACCACGCTATTTCCCCAAAGCAACCTTCCTCAATAGGTAGGTGCCAGACATAAAACTCTTCAAAGACAACCAAGTTCCTGCCTGTGTAAATGCATCTCAGTGGCCCTAGGGTGGTGGTGAACCACTGAAACCAAAAAAAATCCAGAAGATGGGGAAGTTAATTGAAGCTAAAAGCAAACAGAGGAACCACAAAACCAATTTGTTTTATTTTTAAACATTATCGAACAATCTTGCAAGTAAAGACTGATTCTATAAAGCTGCCCAAATTCCTTCAAACTTTCTTCTACACCCCCTGCCAGATGGGACTTCTGTTTGGCCCTGGCCTAAAGACAAAGAACTGCTGGAAGTCATCAAGGATGAAGTCTACTTTGGAAAATAAGAATTCTGAAAGACAAAGCCAGAACCAGAACTATGACTGCACTCTACCTACCCCTCCTGAAGACAAAGATGTTTCTTGCTTGACACAAAACAGGTGCTTACGTACTTGACTTTTCATATGGATCTAATTGGTTTCCAATTTTGCTAATGAACTAGTGATGCTTCCAATCATTTTAAGGCAAAACAAAAAAATTTCTAAAAGGATTTACTTGCAGCTGCCTACATCACCAAAAGTTATTAAGAGGAAAGAAACATTTACTAAGAAAGAACATTTACTAAGTTCACAATACCTCACTTAAACCTGTATCATCACCATTTAAGTTGGGGACTACTCTAAGGAATTAGATGTTAAAATAATCTGTATAAGGGATTCTAACCCCAGAGCCCATGGTTGGTCTCTCTTGAGAAGTGTGACCATCATCTAGGAGGTACAAACTTTTACTGAGACAGTGTGTTGAGAGGGCTCTGGAATAGTGGCTACACCTTGGAGGGTAGAGAGCAAGTTAAATTTCTACTTGTTTATTTTATTCTGGAAGATGTAAAGGACAAAGAAAAGACCGGAGAGTCATGTTTCCCAAAATGTCATATGAAACATGCGTGGAACAGTTGAGAAACACTGCTGTTGTGTGAAGCTCTGAGACCAGACTCAGACTGCATGCTAGCTGGGGAATCTCCAGGAGCAGAGAGCAAAAGAGAGGCATGGGATTATTAAGAAGGGCCAATGTACAAAAGAGTTAAGGACACATATCTAGGTCCCAGAGAACACAGCAGCCCTAAAGGGGCTAAGGAAGACCCTAATTGCCTAGCCAAGAGAAAGAGAAAAATGAATTCTTTAAAAAAAAACCAAACACATAAGTAGGATATTAATCACCCTACTCCTAAGTCACCAAAGACTTTTTAAAGGAAAATTCAGACACACACAAAAAAGGATTAGCACTGTCTTCCACAAAGACCCTCGTCACTTGAAGGACAGTGGGAAGCTTAATACACAAGAAGGTATTTTCTTTAAAAGCTCTGCCTTCCCACTTTTGCTTTTCCTACTGTTGCCTAGTCTGTAAGAAAACAGATGCTTTGGGGAGAGAGGAAAACTGAATGGAAACTAAAAGCTTTAGGTTTGCTTTTCACATCTTTCATTTCTGTGGGGAACCAAACAAAATGCATGTACTCTCTGAGGAAACCTGGACCACATTTGTCCTGTACTTCCTTGGAGCTCCACAGAAGTCTGTTTCCGTTAACATTATCTCTACCTTTCTCAGTCACCATAAGGGGAGGTATAAAGGCAGTTCCAAAGAGAGGTGAAAAGATTTAAGGGGGAGGGACGCCTGGGTGTTTCAGTCGGTTAAGCATCTGCCTTCGGCTCAGGTGATAATCCCAAGGTCCTGGGATGGAGTCCCACCTTGGGCTCCTTGCTCAGCAGGGAGCCTGCTTCTCCCTCTGCCTGTCACTCCCCCTGCTTGTGCACTGGCACACTCTCTCTCAAAAAAGAGAGAGTGAAGGGGGAAAAGGTGCACCAAAAGTGGGGCTGGGGGGCTGCACAAGGCAATACAGGAGAGAAGGATGAAGGGCAAGCTAACGCTGACAAAAACAGGCAGTATTAATCTATTTGTGAGACTATTAACATGTTCAAAATAGGACCTCCTATCGAGTTTGAAAATTGTACTTATCAAGTCAGTGGTACAGGGGACTCTAAAAGGCAAACTACCTATCCCACAACTTCCCTAAGGAAAGATAATCAGGAAAGAATTTATATTTGGTTTTGGAATATATCTTGGACTTTATGTGATCTTGACATGTTTCAAAGATGCAACAGCTGAGGCACCTGGCAGGCTCAGTCAGTAGAGCATGCAACTCTTGATCTCCGGGTTGTGAGTTTGAGCCTCCATGCTGGGTGTAGAGATTACTTTAAAAAAAAAAAAAAAAAGATGCAAGAGCAAATGAACAGCATTACCTCTCTGATACAAAAGGACTCAGATCTCCTATACACTTTCCTTAGAATAGGCAAGGTAATGAACCTTTTTTTATTTCTCAGAGTTTTCTGTTGGCCTCCAGAGCCTGTATGTTGAGTAAATGACAAAACACTATCCTTCCCAGAAAGATGACCACTGACTCACTCACCATCAGCAACTCTTACGAAGTATGCACTGAATCACAAACTCTAGATACAGGGGCTGGTCGCAGGCACAGTAATGCTCAATGACCTACATTAAGGCCTGAACTCATGACCTTGGCCTCGTTAGTCCGACTCACCAACTCTTACTAACGATTGTTAGTAAATGCCCCCAATACTTTGAAAAACTTTTTTCATATAAGGCAGGGCGCTAATGAAGAACTCAACAACTATCCAGATCAGAGACTTTCAAAAAAATTTTTTTTAGAGATTTTATTTGACAGAGAGACATACAGCAAGAGAGGGGACACAAGCAGGGGGAGTGGGAGAGGGAGAAGCAGGCTTCCCGCGGAGCAAGGAGCCCGGTGCGGGGCTCAATCCCAGGACTCTGGGATCATGACCTGAGCCAAAGGCAGAAGCTTAATGACTGAGCCACCCAGGCACCCGGAGACTTTCAAAATGTTTTTAAAGACAGAAGTGTTTCTCCCCTAAACATAAAAGTGAAGCTGATGTTCAGGTTGAAGACAGAAAAGGGCAAGGCAGGCCCCACCTTTTGCGTTTCCTGCACTCAGGGTAACCCCAGGTCTCCTGGGAGATATGAAAATAGACCTGGAAAATTCAAAACAGTGCTCGCTTCGGCAGCACATATACTAAAATTGGAATGATAATTCAAAACAATAGATAATTCACCAATTTTATATCCAGCTTTGAGATGAATAAGTTTTTTGAACAGATTTCTCTATATTTAGAATCTAATAGGTTACCAGAAATCAAGGAATTTCCAATGCCATCAATGGTAATAAATGTGTGCCTCCTTGAGTTGACAGAATATAGTATTTAAAATTTATAAACCTTGGAGTGCCTGACTGGCTCAGTTGGTAGAACATGCAACTCTTGATCTCTGGGTCATGAGCTAAAGCTCCATTATTGGCGTAGAGCTTACTTTAAAAAAGAAAACTGTAAACCTTATCACCTGGAAGTAGGGAGAAATGTCCAAACATTTACAAAGTAGCAATAATTTTAAGGGCTAACATTTTCTTTTTTTTTAAAAGATTTTATTTATTT